AAAAAAAAAAAAAAGGACAAAAGACCCTGAGATGTGACAGAGGTCTCAAGTCCTGCTCAGGCATTGCCTGGCAGGAGACAATGTGAAACTCTGTAGCAAGAATAATTACTACTCTATTTGGAGACTCTCCGAACATTTGGAATATCAACATGACGGTTGTGAAACTGACACCAGAAACGTTGCCTCAGAATCTCCATCAGAACAAGATAAAACCAAAGAACCGGAGGATAAGCTGGAAATGCTTTAAAAACAAAAACAAGGGCTCCTTATAAATAAACGACTGCAGGCCCTGAGAAAAAGCCAGAAGGCCTTGTCAGCGGAAAATACTCGAAGATATCTCACAAATATATCTTCTCACCATTCCCCGGCTAGGGTTAGAGCCAGGAACAGCTTCTGCTAGAAAATCTTACAGAGAAAAACATATTCGAGACACAGCGATACCACCAGCGTGCTTTTTAAAGACTCTGCTTTAAAAGGGGAATCAGATAATATTGCAACTTCCAATGTTTCACCATTGGATGTGGTGCTTTTGAAGCGTGTGGCTTTTAATGTGTTGGATGCTTCATCTGCGTTCAGCTCTCAACGTAGACTAGACCTATGTCTGTCTTTATAAATTTTACAGTTACTTGATGTTCTAAGATGTTAATACAGTTTTGCCCTTTTTAATTATTGAATATTTGATTTAAATTTTTAAATGCCTTCTTATGAGCTTTGTGAAATACATGTAATATATTAAAACATTTCCATATTCTGGGACACACAGAGCAAGAGGGCCTTGGCTCTTTTACTCCAGGGTAAACTCTTCCCACGGGTAGTCGGAGCTAGACCTACGGGTGCTGGGCATGTAGCCCGGTGGTCCTCAACTCAGAACCACCTAGAAAGTTTTTATTTATTTTTTTTATGTTTATTTATTTGGGGAGAGAGACAGAGGAGGGGGGCAAGGGGCAGAGGGAGAGAGGAGAGAATCTCAAGCAGGCTCCCCGCTATCAACGTAGAGCCCACAGAGCCTGACGCGGAGCTCGATCCCATGAACCGAGCGGAGATCCTGACCTGAGCTGAGTGAGATTAAGAGTCAGAGCCTTGACCGACTAAGCCACCCCCAGGCGGCCCTCCACCTAGAAAGCTTTAAAACATACTGCTTCCCCCCAGCCCACCACAGCTCAGCTAGGATAAGCTCTCCAAAAGTCAGGTTGGGAAGGTGAAGCCCGGTGACGACAGGCACAGCCAGAGACGAGAGAGCTGAGGTTCTGACCCACCCAGAGCTGGCCTACCTACCACTGAGCTCTGCGGAGCGAGCACCAGGGCGTCCATATCTCGCAGCTCACTGGCCTCCATCCGGGGTGCGCGCGTGGGCAGGTTCCTCCCCCCCGGGCTGGGAAAGGGTGAGTCCCTGCCAGGTTGACGGAAGGTGAATGCAGGCCCTGACTGTTGGGGGACCCCTTCACCCCAACGGGGAAGTGTGGGGCTGCTGGAGAATGCACGATCCGATCTCTACCGCCTTCCCAAGCCTCTAACCTGATGAGAAACTTAAAGTCTGAGATAAGGCTGTCAGCCTGCAAGGGAGCCCAGACCACAGGAGGAAGGAGAGGAGGGAGACCGGTGAGGACGGGGCACGCAGCGCCTTCCCACATCCTGGGGAAGCAGGTGTGGAAAACCGAAGGAGGTCATGCAACCCCTAAGGTCAGAACCAAGACCCCCAGGGGGGGTTCTCCTGGGAGGCGGGCTTCAGCTCAAGCCGCAGAGGCACTGTCCCCCAGTGAGGAAGGCCTGCTCCGTGGGCACTGAGCCCCCCACCTTGGAAGTGTCCAGATGAGGTCTGAGGCACCTACCCTGGGGAGGAGGGTGAAGTCAGGGGTCCGGACAGGGGCCTGGCAAACCTCTTTCACATTAAGTCCCAAACTCAGCCGTGCATCCAAATAACCCAGGGGTTGTTGCTGGAAATACAGAACAGACTAGGCTGAGCCCATCTCGGGCTTTTGGAGTCAGAATCCTCGGTGGGGGGGAGGGGGGGGGGCAGCCCGGAGACCCGCCGGGCTATTAAGCTCCAGTGCCGACTCCCAGGCATGGCCCCATCCTGGGACAACTGTCCACCTCTACGCGGCCTGGATCCAGTCGGGAGACAAAACACTCGGAGCCCAAAGTGAGCAGAAGCACGGGGAGCTGGGGACCAGTGTCCGCAGGAGAAGGTGGAAAGTGTGCAGGTGGAAAGTGCGTGCCCAGTGAGCAGGTGCCCATGACTCAGCCCCTGCTGGGCAGAGTAGGAGAAATTACGGCTGCCCTCAGAGACCCCTTCTTTCTGGGGACACATTTCATAATATTTTGAAGGATCGATAGGAAGGAAGGAGACAGACTCCTCTGAGGGGCCACCCGCCTCCCGGATACACCCCCCCGGGGATTCACAGCTACCTCGAAGGCCACACGTCCACACTCGAATCGTCATCTGTCCACCCCGCCACGCCTCTCTGTGTGCGCGGCTCCCTCCGCAGGCAGATGGCCTGGAAAATTCTATCTCCCCTTCAGCGTCCACCTGAGCCCCTCAGACGCCAGCCCCTCACCTCCCATCTGCCCTGGGCCTCCTCTGCCAGTCCTGCTGCACGGGTGCTCCGGGGACAGCGCATCCGCCTCCCTCCTGGACGGCGAGTCCCAGAAACCAGCGCCTGACCTGCTAGGGAGAGCTCAGAAAAGATCTGCCCAGTGCGGTAGGGGAGTTCAGAGAAGGGGCCCAGAGCAAGGGTGTCGGGTAGTGAGGGAAGGTTCCCAGGGGAAGCCGAGCTTGAGAGGGGAAGGGTGGCCTGGCAGAGGAGAGGAGAGTGCCCCCAGGGACGGGGACTATAAAGCAAAGGCCCAGGGCAGGAATGTGGGCCGGCATCCTGGCGGTGCAGGGTTCAGAGAGACAAGAGCTGCAGGAGGGGAAGGAACGAAGGTGGCAGGGGGGCACGGGGAGGAGGCCCAGACCCCGCACCGCTGGCTGCAGCCCCACTCTGCGCCAGGTAGCTCAAAGCCACCTCCCTCCCCAACTCCTTCCTCAGCTGCTCAGAATTCGTGAGCTGCCTTCCTTAGCAATCGTGATCTTCCCCCACTGGGCCCGGGGCGGTGGGGGGAGCTGTTGACTGATTTTTTTTAAAATTTTTTTTTTCAACGTTTTTTTATTTATTTTTGGGACAGAGAGAGACAGAGCATGAACGGGGGAGGGGCAGAGAGAGAGGGAGACACAGAATCGGAAACAGGCTCCAGGCTCCGAGCCATCAGCCCAGAGCCCGACGCGGGGCTCGAACTCACGGACCGCGAGATCGTGACCTGGCTGAAGTCGGACGCTTAACCGACGGCGCCACCCGGGCGCCCCCTGCTGTTGACTGATTGAACTGGTGGGAAAACGAGTCCAGGGAACACAGCCCCCCGGGGGCCAGGCAAGTGGTCAGGGGCAGGAAGGAGCCAGGGAAGTGTGACCTGGCAGAAGGAAGAGGGTCGCAGGGACTGGGCAGGGCGATGGGGAGGTGGCTGGCGCGTGCCCAAACCCTCAGCTGAGACCAGACGATGCTGAGGGTCAGAGAAGGACAGAGGGCCCAGCCAGGAAAGGGCACGGCTTCGACGTGGCCCCATAGCCACTGACGAGCTCAGATAGGCAGGAGCCTCCGTCACACGCAGTCGTTCCCATCGGTGATGTGGGAGTCAGACGCACCTGGCTTTGAGCCCCGGAGCCTCTCCGGGCCTCACTCTCCTCCTCTGTAAAATGGGGACGATGTTGATTCGAAGTCCCTTGGTCTATTCCAAGCCCTTATGGGCAGGGTATGCTCCACCGGGCTTTGACCCTATGCCCCTGGGGGCGGGGGCACTTTCACAACCCCCAGAGTGACTACCTCTCCGGCCCGGTTCGGGCTCGGTGCACAGCAGGGGCTCAGTGGTGCCCCCGAATTTATGCCGACCCGACGGAGGACGTTCCTCCCCCGGCCTGCCGTGGGCTGCAAGGTAGATTGCAAAGCTGACCTTCCTTCCTCCTCACTGGAACGTTATTTTTCCTGCTAACCCCACATCCTAGCCAATACATTTCACAATATTTGAATATGGTGGATTCAGAGCCCCACGGGCTGACCTGTGCCACAGGTCCTTATTCTGGCATTGTTTTTTTTTTTTTAATTTTTTTTTTTTTTTCAACATTTATTTTTGGGACAGAGAGAGACAGAGCATGAACGGGGGAGGGGCAGAGAGAGAGGGAGACACAGAATCGGAAACAGGCTCCAGGTTCTGAGCCATCAGCCCAGAGCCCGACGCGGGGCTCGAACTCACGGACCGCGAGATCGTGACCTGGCTGAAGTCGGACGCTTAACCGACTGCGCCACCCAGGCGCCCCTATTCTGGCATTGTTAAGCACAGGCTTTTTTCAAGGGCCGAGGCAAAATGCATTCGTCAAAAGCCCCTGAAAATGGGAATAAGAGGTCCTTCCAGATCAGCCCCCACAACTGTGCAGTCAGCGCTCAGGACGGTGGAAACGGCAACCCCCCACCTTCTCTGGACTTCCGCTGCTGGACCGCCTCTGAGGCCCCAGCTGGCCTGCGCCCCTGCCCTCAGGTCTGCCCAGAACCCAACTGGGCCACCAGAGTCCACGGCGAGGAACCAGCGAGCGGGTGAAGGTGGGAAGGGGGGGATTCTGGCTGTGTCTGTCCCTGACCCCGGCCATCCCTGCCTGCTCCCAAAAGCCCCTGCAGCCACTGGTTGGTGTTGAAAATGATTCACTTTGCCCAGGGGGAGTGCGGTGGGGGGGGGGGGGGGGGGGGGGGGGGGGGGGGACACCAGGCCTCTATGTGAACAGTGAGAAGAAAACGATCATTTTCGTGCTTCAAACACGTCTCCCCTGCACATGTCCCCACGGCGTCCCACAGAGCACCGTGAAGCAGCAAGCCCCGTCAAAAGGTCTCTCTTGCTTCTTGGCCCAGGGATGTCACACTGGGCTGCATCTGTGTGGGGAGGTAGAAAAGTGGTCGCCTCAACACGGTGAATTTCACCATTACGGATTCATTTGTTTGGGCTTTGAAGGAAGGGCCGAAGGTACATTCCAGGACACCGGGGAGAGGGGAAGGTGGCACCAGGATGAGCTGAAATTATGGGAGGAAATTTCCGTCCCCTCACTTTCCACACAGAGGCCCAGATCTTCCTCCCGGAGCAAAGTGAGTCCGCTTCCACGGGCACTGGGCAGCAGCTGGTGCTCATGGGGGAGAAATCAGGGCAAAGAACCCGGGCGCGTTAGGGCCCATCCTAAACGGTTTTTGGGAAGACGACAAGGGCAAGGAGTCCAAAGACCTGGTGCACGTCTGACTGAGCTGTCCCTGGGAGGCCCAAGAGACCCTGCCACACGCCGCGTGTCCTGCCTGTGCCTCAGTTTCCTCATCCCAGCATGAGAAACGGGAGGCAGCCTACCTGCCCGCAGCGGCAGGTGCCTGGTTTGCGGTGCTGAAGGCACAAAGCGCTTTTGCTCACCCACTGCAGGGACAATGTCACCCACAGAGGCCTGTCCTCCTCAGCCCTGGAGCCCAAACAAAGCCGGCTGTAATGGAACGAGGCCCACCTTATCAGGAGGGGTGCTTTTCCTTTGAAAGTCAAATCTGAGGCCTTGGGACAATGAAGCGTGGGTGTTCCCACTCAGCACACCCAGGCAGGCGGGGTGGAGGCCTATCTGGCCCAGCCTGGCCCAAGAGCCCCCCCAAACCGGCCCGGCTGGCCCCCGCCCCGTCCCCCGTCCCGGGGAATTCACTTCCTCAGATCCCTCTTCTGCTCTTTTCAGAGTCTTAAGGAAACCCTGAGGACGGCAAGCAAAGGCATCCAAAGGGCAAAATTTCTCTAGAAGAGATGCCCGGTGTGAAACCCGGACCCAGAGACGTCGGCCGCTTACCCAGGATCACACAGCACGGTGGTCCTGGGGTAAGTCCCGAAGCCCCCAGGCTTGCTGAGCAACATTCCAACGCTCAAGCATCAGCTGGACTGAGGACAGTGATTAAGCCAAGCCTGACTGCAGGGAGGAGGGAGGAGGGAGGAGGGGGGAGGGCAGCAGGGCTCTCACTTTCTCCCTCCCACATCCTCTCTCCAGCTTCATGGTTAAGCCAAATGTTTCATCCTCCTTCACACAATTTCCTTTTTTCTTTTCTTTTTTTTTTTTTGTCACTGCCATTTTTTTTTTGGTTTGTAAACCATCGGTCAGGTTCTAGAGAGGATGTGTCCCCAAAACATCCGAGAAACGAACTACTAACATCCCACATTTCAGCTGCAGCTCCCCACCCCTACTTTCAAAAGGATCCCCCCCCACAAGGCATCAGGGAGCCCCGATCTGGGGACACACTTGCTCCCTGCCCTGGGGGCATCCCAAGGACACTTCAGCCTCACTGAAGGGCAAGGTCACTGAGTCCATCCCCACCCATCTAGCTTGAGGGCGCCCCAGGGGCTCCCCTGCAAGCAGTGGGGACCCAGCACCGCCCCCACCGCTGTTGACAGAGCCCATGGGGACTCTGCTGCCTCCCGTCCCTTCCCATCCCAGCGGCTCACCTGTTGCCCCCAGGGAAGCCATCACCATCCTCCTGCCATCCTCCTGCCCCTCGACCTCCCCCATGGACAGCTGGCCCGCGGACTGCGAGAACCAGGGGCCTCCTCCCCAGACCTCCTTTCCCCTCCTTTCCTCTCCACACCTTTTCCACACCCACTGTCTGCTTGAGCTCTTCCTCTTTCAAGAAGTCTGCTCTGCCAACCACAGCCCAGCTGGCTTCCCTTTGTCCTCCGCGCTGGCGCTGGTGGCTGGGCCTGCACAGCATGTTGGTGAATCATTACACGGTGTCTTTCCTGGGGAGGCAAAGCAAACACGGCAGCATTCTAAGACCCACGGCACACGGCCCAGTTCAAAGTTCATAAGAGCTAGATAAGCACTCGGTGAATACGACATTACTTCCCCACAAATTCCACTCTCAAAAAGGTAAATAATTCCCTGGGCAACAATAAAGAAATCGCAAGGTAGCATGAGTAATCGCCGGCTGTGTGCGTGTGTTTGTGTATGAACTCCCTTTGGACTCGCTCACCCGGAGCGCACAGGCCCGGGACCTAGGCCCACGTGATCGGAACAGGCAAACCCTCCCCGCCACCCTTCCCGAAAAGACACCACGTGGTGTGCCACAGCGTGGATCGGCGAGGGCCCCCCCATCTCCAGCACAGCAATGTCATCGCCAAACGTTCCACCATTAACACCCCGCTCGCCATGGTTCGAAGGCTATTTGGTCTTTAAGAATGCTTCTCCCAATTCAGATGCCACTCTGCGGCTCTAAACCCGCTGGCATCTGAGCCCGAGGGAGGCTCTGGAAGAGAGGAGGGGGTGTTCACGGGGGAGAGAGAAAACACCACCCTGGTGGAGGCTCTCTTGAGACAGGAGGGGAAACAGGGCCGCTGTGTAAGCAGCTGAAGGGTGGGAGCAGGGTGCCGGTGGGGGGCTGGTGGTTGCAAGCTGGGGGAGTGAAGGTGGGGAGGCGAATTCATCCATGGATGGGTGGTGTTAACGTGCCATCAAAAAGGTAAGGGGGCGCCTGGGTGGCTCAGTCGGTTGGGCGTCCGACTTC